CTTCTTGCTGTCTGCTGACATTCAAATAATGGAGGTCCATGGGGCCCGAGGCAGAAAGGTCCATAAAAGTCCACAAAAAACGTTTCAATATTCCTCCATACTGCTCGTCCAATGTATTCCAAGTGTCCTGAGTGGGTAGCATCCAGAATTTACTCGAAACGAAGTCATTTAGAATGTTTTTAGAGCATAAAAATCGAGCTAACAGCGACCTGAAGACCTGTAAGCCGGTCAGACCAAAAAAGGACGGCTTTAAAAACGACTTACAATCCAGGGGAGACAACTGAGTGCAAATGTTAAGTCTTCTGTTTCTTTGGTCTTAAAATATTTCTCATGCATGCTTGTGTTGCAGCTACGTTTTTCAGTCTGAGAATCTGAGCAACTGTTTGAAGTTGTCAATAAAAATGGAGTCCAACAGCTCAAACACGTGAGTTTAAAAAATAATATTGAAGCAATTCCATTTTTGATTGTGTTTCTTTTTTTTTCTTTCAACTCACCATGAATCACTAGTAAAATACTACTCGTTGGCCTGATATTTTTTTTATTTTTCTATTGGTTTCTTTTTTTTTAGGTATACATATTCTAGAATAAACCAGGTTCTTTGTTTACCTTGTATTTCTGTGGTGACAGATAGCTTTTTTTTCTTTTTATTAAGTGTAAGCATGCGCCCACTGGAAAACCACCAGTCAGACATCCCCATCAAAAACTCTTCATTGGAACCCGGCAAGGACCAAAACGGCTGTTCCAGTTCACCCAGTAGAAAGCTTCCCCTCCACGAAAACTGCAAACCAAACAGCATCTTGACTGATGCCTCTTCAACTCAAAGCTCCCATCAAGAGCAAAAATCTACCCCCAAAATCAGCCTCTCACAATACAGCTCCTTCTCAGACCTTTCAAACGAGGATGTTATTGTTGAAGATGTCTTGGGTGATTACTCCGAGTCAGGTTTGTAAATCCATCAAACAACCTGTTTAGTTTAATATCAAATTGAAGAGATCTTAAAGTTTTTGACTTTATGTCTTTCTGCAGTTACTCCAACTGGTCCTTCAATGGCCAGCATTTACTGGAGATCCATATGGAAACAAAAAAATGACCTGAGTCGCAACAAGGGTAAGAAGGGCATCCCTTCCCTCATTATTCCATCCAGATTAAATAATTTAGTCTTGATGAATAGATCTCAAACCTTTTTTTTTTTTATTAAATTCAATTCAGTTTATTTATATAAATTCTCACAACACGTCATCTTAAGGCACCTTACATTTTACCAGATCATCCAGCCAAATAGATTCAAAGTTTTCTAAGGAAAACCAGTTGATTGCATCGATTCATTGACTCGAATGCAATCCCTCACACTAAGCATGCTTGTAGCGACAGTGGAGAGGAAAAACTCCCTTTTAACAGATAGAAACCTCCAGCAGTACCAGGCTCTGTGTGAGCGGCCATCTGCCGAGGCCGACTGGGGTTCAAGGAGACAGAATCAGAGACACAAAAAGCAGCTGTTAAAGGCGGCATTTTTAACACTCACTTCCCCTCACCGGCTCTCAATATTGTCTGTTTTGTTCTCCAGCTCTTAATTTTTTTGTGTGTGTTTTGTATCACTGGCTTTTTTGCTTTAGTTACTCAGTGGGTGGTGGTGAGCCATGTTGTGAATCCAAGTTACTTCTATGTCCGCCCTGTGGTTGAGAGGAAGGAAAGTAAGATTCTTTCACAGAGGATAAAGGAACTCTGCTGTGGGGACGGCTGCCTCTTTACACTGAAAGACATTATAGAGAAAGGTAAGCTTTGTGTGTGTGTGTGGGGGGGGGCTGTATGTGTGTCATCCTTAAAATTCAAATAGAAAACACATACTTAGTTTTTTATTTGATAGTATTTAAAAAGGAAATACATCACAAGTGAAAAAAATGTTCAGCATTTTTGTTGTTTATAGCATAAAATATTTCATTATGATAGCAGAGGACCCAAAATTCCTCATTCGGTCACGTGACCCACTGAGGAATGGCGTGACGTCAGTTTAGTCAGGAATTAGTAATTTTACATAATGAATCAATATTAGCTCCATAAAGGATAAAAAGTCCATTACCTTTGTGATGGACTTTTTAATCCTTTAACGAGGACAAATACGAAGCAATTAGAGTCTTAAGGCTGATTTATACTTCGACACTAGGTCGTCTGCATAGGTGTCACAGTGAACG